CATCTCCCACCTCGTCTGCGTGTCATCTCACACCTCGTCTGCGTGTCATCTCCCACCTCGTCTGTGTCATCTCCCACCTCGTCTGCGTGTCATCTCCCACCTCGTCTGCGTGTCATCTCCCACCTCGTCTGTGTGTCATCTCCCACCTCGTCTGTGTGTCATCTCCCACCTCGTCTGTGTGTCATCTCCCACCTCGTCTGTGTCATCTCCCACCTCGTCTGTGTCATCTCCCACCTCGTCTGTGTGTCATCTCCCACTTCGTCTGTGTGTCATCTCCCACCTCGTCTGTGTGTCATCTCCCACCTCGTCTGTGTGTCATCTCCCACCTCGTCTGTGTCATCTCCCACCTCGTCTGTGTCATCTCCCACCTCGTCTGTGTGTCATCTCCCACCTCGTCTGCGTGTCATCTCCCACCTCGTCTGTGTCATCTCCCACCTCGTCTGTGTCATCTCCCACCTCGTCTGTGTCATCTCCCACCTCGTCTGTGTCATCTCCCACCTCGTCTGTGTGTCATCTCCCACCTCGTCTGTGTGTCATCTCCCACCTCGTCTGTGTCATCTCCCACCTCGTCTGTGTGTCATCTCCCACTTCGTCTGTGTGTCATCTCCCACCTCGTCTGTGTGTCATCTCCCACCTCGTCTGTGTGTCATCTCCCACCTCGTCTGTGTCATCTCCCACCTCGTCTGTGTCATCTCCCACCTCGTCTGTGTGTCATCTCCCACCTCGTCTGTGTGTCATCTCCCACCTCGTCTGTGTCATCTCCCACGTGTCATCTCCCACCTCGTCTGTGTCATCTCCCACCTCGTCTGTGTCATCTCCCACCTCGTCTGTGTCATCTCCCACCTCGTCTGTGTGTCATCTCCCACCTCGTCTGCGTGTCATCTCCCACCTCGTCTGTGTCATCTCCCACCTCGTCTGTGTCATCTCCCACCTCGTCTGTGTCATCTCCCACCTCGTCTGTGTCATCTCCCACCTCGTCTGTGTCATCTCCCACCTCGTCTGCGTGTCATCTCCCACCTCGTCTGCGTGTCATCTCCCACCTCGTCTGCGTGTCATCTCCCACCTCGTCTGTGTCATCTCCCACCTCGTCTGTGTCATCTCCCACCTCGTCTGTGTCATCTCCCACCTCGTCTGTGTCATCTCCCACCTCGTCTGTGTGTCATCTCCCACCTCGTCTGTGTGTCATCTCCCACCTCGTCTGTGTCATCTCCCACCTCGTCTGTGTCATCTCCCACCTCGTCTGTGTGTCATCTCCCACCTCGTCTGTGTGTCATCTCCCACCTCGTCTGTGTCATCTCCCACCTCGTCTGTGTGTCATCTCCCACCTCGTCTGTGTGTCATCTCCCACCTCGTATGTGTGTCATCTCCCACCTCGTCTGTGTGTCATCTCCCACCTCGTCTGTGTGTCATCTCCCACCTCGTCTGTGTGTCATCTCCCTCCTCGTCTGTGTGTCATCTCCCTCCTCGTCTGTGTGTCATCTCCCACCTCGTCTGTGTGTCATCTCCCACCTCGTCTGTGTGTCATCTCCCACCTCGTCTGCGTGTCATCTCCCTCTCGTCTGCGTGTCATCTCCCTCTTCGTCTGTGTGTCATCTCCCACCTCGTCTGTGTGTCATCTCCACCGTCGGTGTTCGATCCCACCTCGTCTGTGTGTCTATCTCCCACCTCGTCTGTGTGTCATCTCCCACCTCGTCTGTGTGTCATCTCCCACCTCGTCTGTGTGTCATCTCCCACCTCGTCTGTGTGTCATCTCCCACCTCGTCTGTGTGTCATCTCCCACCTCGTCTGTGTGTCATCTCCCACCTCGTCTGTGTGTCATCTCCCACCTCGTCTGTGTGTCATCTCCCACTTCGTCTGTGTGTCATCTCCCACCTCGTCTGCGTGTCATCTCCCACCTCGTCTGCGTGTCATCTCCCACCTCGTCTGCGTGTCATCTCCCACCTCGTCTGCGTGTCATCTCCCACCCTCGTCTGCGTGTCATCTCCCACCTCGTCTGCGTGTCATCTCCCACCTCGTCTGCGTGTCATCTCACACCTCGTCTGCGTGTCATCTCCCACCTCGTCTGTGTCATCTCCCACCTCGTCTGCGTGTCATCTCACACCTCGTCTGCGTGTCATCTCCCACCTCGTCTGTGTCATCTCCCACCTCGTCTGCGTGTCATCTCCCACCTCGTCTGCGTGTCATCTCCCACCTCGTCTGTGTGTCATCTCCCACCTCGTCTGTGTGTCATCTCCCACCTCGTCTGTGTCATCTCCCACCTCGTCTGTGTCATCTCCCACCTCGTCTGTGTCATCTCCCACCTCGTCTGTGTGTCATCTCCCACTTCGTCTGTGTGTCATCTCCCACCTCGTCTGTGTGTCATCTCCCACCTCGTCTGTGTCATCTCCCACCTCGTCTGTGTCATCTCCCACCTCGTCTGTGTCATCTCCCACCTCGTCTGTGTGTCATCTCCCACCTCGTCTGCGTGTCATCTCCCACCTCGTCTGTGTCATCTCCCACCTCGTCTGTGTCATCTCCCACCTCGTCTGTGTCATCTCCCACCTCGTCTGTGTCATCTCCCACCTCGTCTGTGTGTCATCTCCCACCTCGTCTGTGTGTCATCTCCCACCTCGTCTGTGTCATCTCCCACCTCGTCTGTGTGTCATCTCCCACTTCGTCTGTGTGTCATCTCCCACCTCGTCTGTGTGTCATCTCCCACCTCGTCTGTGTGTCATCTCCCACCTCGTCTGTGTCATCTCCCACCTCGTCTGTGTCATCTCCCACCTCGTCTGTGTGTCATCTCCCACCTCGTCTGGTGTCATCTCCCACCTCGTCTGTGTCATCTCCCACCTCGTCTGTGTCATCTCCCACCTCGTCTGTGTCATCTCCCACCTCGTCTGTGTCATCTCCCACCTCGTCTGCTGTGTCATCTCCCACCTCGTCTGCGTGTCATCTCCCACCTCGTCTGTGTCATCTCCCACCTCGTCTGTGTCATCTCCCACCTCGTCTGTGTCATCTCCCACCTCGTCTGTGTCATCTCCCACCTCGTCTGGTGTCATCTCCCACCTCGTCTGCGTGTCATCTCCCACCTCGTCTGCGTGTCATCTCCCACCTCGTCTCGTGTCATCTCCCACCTCGTCTGTGTCATCTCCCACCTCGTCTGTGTCATCTCCCACCTCGTCTGTGTCATCTCCCACCTCGTCTGTGTCATCTCCCACCTCGTCTGTGTGTCATCTCCCACCTCGTCTGTGTCATCTCCCACCTCGTCTGTGTCATCTCCCACCTCGTCTGTGTGTCATCTCCCACCTCGTCTGTGTGTCATCTCCCACCTCGTCTGTGTGTCATCTCCCACCTCGTCTGTGTCATCTCCCACCTCGTCTGTGTGTCATCTCCCACCTCGTCTGTGTGTCATCTCCCACCTCGTATGTGTGTCATCTCCCACCTCGTCTGTGTGTCATCTCCCACCTCGTCTGTGTGTCATCTCCCACCTCGTCTGTGTGTCATCTCCCTCCTCGTCTGTGTGTCATCTCCCTCCTCGTCTGTGTGTCATCTCCCTCCTCGTCTGTGTGTCATCTCCCACCTCGTCTGTGTCATCTCCCTCCTCGTCTGTGTGTCATCTCCCACCTCCTCTGTGTCATCTCCCACCTCGTCTGTGTGTCATCGCCCACCTCGTCTGTGTGTCATCTCCCACCTCGTCTGTGTGTCATCTCCCACCTCGTCTGTGTGTCATCTCCCACCTCGTCTGTGTGTCATCTCCCACCTCGTCTGTGTGTCATCTCCCACCTCGTCTGTGTGTCATCTCCCACCTCGTCTGTGTGTCATCTCCCACCTCGTCTGTGTGTCATCTCCCACTTCGTCTGTGTGTCATCTCCCACCTCGTCTGTGTGTCATCTCCCACCTCGTCTGTGTGTCATCTCCCACTTCGTCTGTGTGTCATCTCCCACCTCGTCTGTGTGTCATCTCCCACTTCGTCTGTGTGTCATCTCCCACCTCGTCTGTGTGTCATCTCCCACCTCGTCTGTGTGTCATCTCCCACCTCGTCTGTGTGTCATCTCCCACCTCGTCTGTGTGTCATCTCCCACCTCGTCTGTGTGTCATCTCCCACCTCGTCTGTGTGTCATCTCCCACCTCGTCTGTGTGTCATCTCCCACTTCGTCTGTGTGTCATCTCCCACCTCGTCTGTGTGTCATCTCCCACCTCGTCTGTGTGTCATCTCCCACCTCGTCTGTGTGTCATCTCCCACCTCGTCTGTGTGTCATCTCCCACTTCGTCTGTGTGTCATCTCCCACCTCGTCTGCGTGTCATCTCCCACTTCGTCTGTGTGTCATCTCCCACCTCGTCTGTGTCATCTCCCACTTCGTCTGTGTCATCTCCCACCTCGTCTGTGTGTCATCTCCCACCTCGTCTGTGTGTCATCTCCCACCTCGTCTGTGTGTCATCTCCCACCTCGTCTGTGTGTCATCTCCCACTTCGTCTGTGTGTCATCTCCCACCTCGTCTGTGTGTCATCTCCCACTTCGTCTGTGTCATCTCCCACTTCGTCTGTGTGTCATCTCCCACCTCGTCTGCGTGTCATCTCCCACTTCGTCTGTGTCATCTCCCACCTCGTCTGTGTGTCATCTCCCACTTCGTCTGTGTGTCATCTCCCACTTCGTCTGTGTGTCATCTCCCACCTCGTCTGTGTCATCTCCCACTTCGTCTGTGTGTCATCTCCCACCTCGTCTGTGTGTCATCTCCCACCTCGTCTGTGTGTCATCTCCCAACTTCGTCTGCGTGTCTATCTTCCATTCCACCTCGCTGGCTATCTGACTGTCCGCTGTCTGCGTGCCTGTACGTAAATCTCCACCGTCACACACGTGTGTGTGTGTGTCTATCTCCCATCTCGCTATCTGCCCGCCTGTCTGCCCATCTCCCCCGTCCACGTGTCTCTCGCTCTGCCTGTCTACCTGCCGGCGTGGTGCGCCCTGCGCCACCCACGTGCGTGGCGTGTGTGCGCGACGCGGCGTTCGCCACTTTTCTCACCCCGCGGGGCGAGCGAGCGAGCGAGCGGCGGAGGAGGAAGAGGCGAGGAGGAGCGAGAAGGCTGAGGGCGGTGTCGTGGCCCCCGCGTCCCGGCGAATGCGAAAAATCCGCGGAGAAAAATTCACGGGAAAAAACCGCGGGCGGCGCGGGGAGGCGGCGGCGCCGGGCGCCGGGCGCCTGTGGCGGCGGGGCGACGCGCGGCCGTTAGCGTCGCGACGCGCTGCACCCTGGGACAAACCGCCGCGCTAAAATTTCAAATTTTCGCGCCTTATAAGGGCATGGCGTGGGCGGGGCGAGCGAACGGAGCCACGCGATTGGCTGGAGACGTCTTTTTGAATAAGCGCGCGCTTTTTTTAATACACCCCGAGCCGGCTGCGGGGCGGGGCTGTTGGGGGGGGGGGGTTGGTGGGTGTGTGGGGGGGGGGGGTGAAATCCACGCGATGTGATTGGCTGGCTGGGGAAGCTACGCGCGGGTTTTTTTTGCCCCCCCCCCAACCCACAGGTGCTTAAATATGAGCGGGCGTGGTGGGGGGGGGGCTTAGGGGGGGGGGGCTTGGGGGGTGTGGGGGATCTGAGGGGAGGGGTGAAGGGGGGGCTCGCGACCCGAAAACAAATCGTGATTGGTTGTCTTTTAATTTTTAAATTATGGCGCCTTTATATGGACATGGAGTTCAATGTTTGACGTTGATATTTTTTTTTTCTTTCAAAAAGCGGCTTATAAAATGCAAAAGCGCGACCCGTTAGAAGGAAAAGAATATATTTTATTTTTTTATTATTAAACTCAATTAAGGCGCCTTGTTTGGGCATAAAATGGGCGGTGCGCCGTGTACTGAACGCTTATTGGCTGTTTTTTTTATTTAAAATTAAGCGATAACGTTTACGATTTATTAATCTCATATTGTCAAAATCTTGTTCTCTGCCCGCTGTCTCGTCGCCTTACCCTTGATTAACTCACTTCTATGTCCCCCTGCAGTTATGAGCAAAGTTATCTCGGTTTTATATGCTTTTGTTATTTATTCTTTTGATGGTGAAATCATAAAAGTTCCTTGTGGATAAACTCAATCCCCCGTCATAGGAACGTACAATTTCCACCACTCTGTCTCCAGGGCGTATACACAATTGAGCCATAAGCCTCAAATGCACGTTTGACAAAGGAATCACCTTTATTATTGTTATATATACTGTATAGAAAATGCATTTTTAAGAAGAACTCCGTTCTGAATCCACCCCAAAAAAAAAATCATCATTATTATTTAATAAATATATATATAGCATCCTCCACCCTTTCAGTTTTGAATGTGGGCGCCATATATGGGCATGACGTAGGCGGGGCAAATTTGGAGGCCGCTGATTGGCCGCTCCCCGTTTGAAATTATAACCGTTGCACGTTGGGCCCCCCCCCCCACCGGGCCCCACCACTTGCCCCCCCCCCCCGTTTCCTCTCTTTTGATTGGACCTTCCTAATATGGGCATGGGAAGGGGGGTGGGTGCTGGCCGATTCTCTGTTTAAAGCCAGAGTCCGTTATTCGTTATTCGCACCTTTTTTTTATTCTCATTATTGTTATTTGAATCGGTCGCAAAAAAGAATGTTGTCGGTTACGCACTTTATTTGTTGCTTCTTTTTGTGTGTGTGGGTTTTTTTTCGTTTTGCACACACCCCACCAACCCCCCCCCCCCCCCCCCAACAAACATTTTTTAACGTTCTATATCGTAAATACGCAGAGCTCTCACACAAATTCATTCTGTGGGGTCATGATGATGGCAGTGATGAGCATCACTGCGCTTTGTGAACCCCGGTAACCCGAGTTCAATTCCAGGCCACGGCTAACATCAGCAGAACCCTCTGCCCACCACCACTGACCAGCGTGGTGAAGTATGGTCAAACAACCGCCACGGCCGAATTCCACGGCGTGGAAAGAGGCCCTCATCTCGCGGTGGAACTAACGCTGTAAACGATTCCCATTGTTATTGCAAACTAATTATTTCATCTCAGGCTTACAACCCTGCTACAGTCCCTAGTGCCATCCGGAACCGAACTATCAACATCTCAGCCTCTCTGCAAATTAATTCAGCGGTGCCTTGGCCGCAAAGGGCCGCACTGTTGAGAGGAAGGGGACCGTACGAGTCAAAAGCTTTCAGATGTTGTCGTTGTCATTTTAAGATGTTTTCTTGTTCATGTTTTTGTTTGTTGCGGTTGCACCCGATTCAAGAGCCGAATGGCTCACCAGGGGCTCTACCAAATAAATGAAACTGAAAAAAAAATGAAAACACTGGTGCAACGGGTCTCGCGATGGCATTGCGGTCTGATGAGATTGGGTTCGCCTACTGGAAGAGTAGGCCAAACACCCTGTAGACAGGCTCTCTAGAGTTCCCCTCGAGCGAAGACCCTTCCGCCATGAGTGACGTGGACAAGCTATTGCAGGTCTGCGCCTGTACCTCCTGTATTGATTGAAGGATTTTTTTTTTATTAAAGTGCTATACCGGTTAAAGGGGACTGCATTGATTTCACCTGTCGGTGGTGGCCATGCACTTGACCTGTGATCCCCAGCACTGCGGAGGCTGGGGTCACACAAATGTTGTGAAAACTCAAGTCCGGTGGGCGTTGGGGAAGTGCCCATACCCCTGGCTTGCCAGAAGGCAGTGCAGAATAAGTATAACCCGTAAAAACAAAGGTTTTCACTATAAATCCTTTATATGCGTGGCGGCTAGAGTCCTCTCGTCCTCTGGCTTGAGATGGCTGCCACCTATGGGTCAGATGATTGCATTGCACCATTAAGCAATTGGTAATTAAATATAATATTTTTGTCCTAAAAAGTGTAAAATTTTGGGGAAAAATTTTCACGAACATTAATTGTCACGCACAACGAGTCTGTGTGGAAAATGTCAGCTCGATTGGATCACGGGAAGTGGGTTAAAAAACGACCGAAAGATTTGCATGGTCCTAAGCAAGCAAGCGAACTTAATATAAAGGATTTTTAAAAATGTGGACTCCACCTACTCTTTGGGTTTTTCGGTAAAGTCACGTAGGTAAAAAAAAATGAAATGAAAACAACTAAATTAAATCACGACGTTTCGGGCGCTTGTGTTTACCTACGTGACTTTACCGAAAAAACTAAAGAGTATGAATCCTTGCAGTCACGAAAGCTTCAAATCTAGAATGGACTCCACCTGTTCCATCTGCACGCGGGAACAGGCCGTTTGCTCCGGGTTTCCTCCAAATTCAATGGCCGATCACATCTTCATATGTAGAGGACGGCAGAGCTCTGCAGTTGGGGTGGGGGGGGGGGGGTTTGACGCCGCGTGGCTGCTGCCTTCCCACTCGACTGTGCTTCCTTCTCGCGCCTCTGAGTTGCTATCTCTCTTCTAGAGTAAAGGAAAACTGTACTATAGAGTGCGGGGGCGCGTTTCAAATAGAAATTATGAATAATATTCTTGGTTATTTCGGTAAAGTCACGTAGAAGGGAAATAATAAAATAATAAATAAATAAACTTGCAATTTTGTTTAAAAAATATTTTTAAAAAAATTTGTTTATATTTTTATTATTTCCCTTCTACGTGACTTTACCGAAAGAACCAAGAATATGAATGCCTGCAGTCGCGAAAGCTTTAAATCGAAAAGTATTAATACTATTTAAGTGGAGGGGATAGAGACGGGGGAGATTTTCATGGATAGTTGCTGTGGATTTGCACAACGGGCATTGCTTTAATTGAACCAGGCGACGCAGGGTATCGCTTAATTGTGAAGATATCGCTTGTGTCAGCCGCGGAAGGGGATTTAGCGGAGGTTCGTGGAGAAACGTGCGTTTACCACTACGCCCACCTCCCTCTGTCAGATCCGTTTATGTGGAGTTCGCGTGATACCTGCAGCCGCTAGATGCCGCTACGATTTTTTTTATCTCATCTCGAAAACGTATCGAATCACCAGGGGTGGGTGAATCGTAACATCACTAGAAATTAAAGTTTCGGACACCGATCATGCAGGTATAATATACCCACTGCTGTATGAAGGTCTCCAAATCATCGCCATCTCAGTTTCACGTACAAACAAATCCACCAGCTTCTCAAAGTGAGCCGATGTCATCCATCCTTCCTCTGCGACGGCACGGCCTCTCTCGGACGAATTCTCTTTCTACACGCTTTGATTTAACTCACTCTGTCTGTTGTTGTTGTCGTTGTTGTATCCTCAAATCTTGTAACTCAATTTTAACCCACTTCCCAATGTGGTATCGACTGCAAACTTGGTATACTTATGTCATACTGATGACAATACTATATTCTATCATAAAAAACAAAATATATTTTTAAACATTCTTTTTTAGATGTTATGTTTCGGCTTGGGTCTAATTGGCCACGGTCAACTGACGTTGGCTGTAATTGGCCAGGGTCCCTTACGTTATGGCAAGCTTCGGGGCCACTTCCTGGAGTCGTGGAGTTCTGCCATTACGAGTAGGGTACATTTCATAAAAGCGTGTTTTAAAAAATGTGTTTTTAAATCTTACTTATTTGGCTTCTAGTTCATCGTGTCTCGACCACAAGCCTGAGTACCATACCATCTAGCAACGTGTGCTGCCCCCCCACCCCCTCTACCTAAATCGATACGATGTCTTTAACGTGTGCGCGTGTTATCGAATCCACGTGTTCCTTTGTCTGCAATTCCAAGCGTGCACTCCAAAGTTGCTTCTTTGCACACTTTTCAGCTTTTATTCCATTTTGCCAATGCCCGTGTTATCGAACCAGAGTCTACGTTTTGTTTTACTCCATTGTGTCTCCTGCGCGCCTGGCACGAGCGCCAATGGTTTAATTGATAATTAAATGTTTGAGAACAAACGCACGTTTAGAAAGTGCTCCAAAAAACATTAATATGCACGATTCGTCTTCCTTGTCCTAATACAGTATTAGGTGTTGCTTCCGTCTGCCTCTTTAACTCCAGGAAATGATTGAAGAACTTACGTTAGAAAAGGCTGCAAAGGTGGAGATTAAGATGAATCAGCAAAACAAGAAACGCCAATGACCAACACAACATTTGCTGACGCGTTATTTTCAGAATTTTTTTTTAATCATTTGATAGCGTTAATTTACAAACACTTAATAATTACTTATGGACATAGTAACTATTTCTGAAGTACTAATAGAAAACGGACATTGACACACAGATAATGAATAACTTATCACAACGGTTGGTGCAAGGAACTTGGTCCA